GAAGCAACTGGTGTTGTGGAGTACAAAGGTTATAATTTTCTCTTTTGTTGGACAACAGGTTTAGAAATGTGAATACAAGGGAGGTTTAGCTTTAGGCATTTTAATTTAAGCATGTTTAGCTTAGTTAACGGAAGGCTACCTGCTGCCATCAGAGCAAGTGTAATTACTGCATTCACACGCACCTCAGATGCTCTCATTTCCCGAGTTGTGCTTTTAAGTCGGAATGTGAAAACATGGACACTCTCGTTACTACAAAGATGTGTTGGATTTGTATTATTAGACCTTTCCGACTTGATTTCACATGCATTTTCTCAGTCTGGAAATTATTTTTCACATGCGGTGCCACTGAAAGGAATGAAATTATTTCCTTATGAAATAAATTCTTTGTGAAGCCAAACACTCAGTAACTTTTGCAATGCAAATGCCATGCCGCAAAACACTGGGCTTTGATCTCCTCGTAAAGCCAAACACTCAGAAGCAATGGGCGTTGATCAAGATAGGAAGATCTAGAAGAAAGACCATTTGCTCTTCAGTCCCTTCACCCATCCTTCCCCCCTGGGCACATGGTCCAGGTCACTAAAAGTTGACAGAGAAATGCCAAGAACTCAAGTTGCTATGCTCACATAAAACATTTACTATTATCTTCAGGATTCATGATCGTAAACGTTTCATGTTTGGTGTCATTTTAAAAGGTCTTTGTGTGATTGGTAAATTGGTTTCAATTTCAAAGAAGTCATTTATATTAGGAGAAAGATTTAAAACTTTTGTAGAATTGTGTTGTGTTGAGGAGGGGGAGTGTCCCCCTTTAGGGGTCTGTGAGAATGTTTCTCTCTCTCCAGCCAGGTGTGACCCTGGATCACAGAACTTAAACAAAAGGTCTTTTAATGTTTTTACAACTGATTTAAAGATTTCTTTGTCTTTGTTCTGGTAGTATTTAAGGGAAAGTTGCAAATCAGTCATGGCGATTCTGTAGCCAGAAAGCCCGTAGTATGGAATGCATCCACACACTCTATACTATGTATTTTCCTGAAGTCAGGTATGCATCCTTTGCTCTTTATCTTTGAGAATTTGATGTCTTTTTATTGATTTGATATCTCTGAATTGACTATGTAATTGGCATGATACAAGTTTACCTGACAAATAATAAATTGTTATATTTGATTTATTCTGAACTTTTCTTGAAATCATTATGACTAGTAAACTGTGAGGAGGCTTTTGTTACCGCAAATCTACGGCCAGGATAAATCAAACTGAAGGCTTGTGAATGATAGGAGCAGTCGGCACGTCATCGGAGACCTTCTGATTTCTGTCTATCGCCGATGTTAGCAAGTTGTACGGGAAAGGACTAAGTGAATTACACTTTTTGTCATAAGCAAGCAGTAGGCGGCAGGCAAAACAGGTATTAGTCTACCTAAACGTCTATCGCTGATGTTAGCAAGTTGTACGGGAAAGGACTAAGTGAATTACACTTTTTGTCATATGCAAGCAGTAGGCGGCAGGCAAAACAGGTATTAGTCTATCTACACCCTCTGACTAACATCAGACTGGCGAATTTGTGATCATAAGATCCACGTAAGGCCAACGTGAGACTTAAGAGACATCAGGTCCCCAGTGAACGGATAATTGAAAGTATTGAGTCCGGAATAATCAAACATCTAAATCAATATTTGTGATCATTAAATTTAGGCAATATTTCTAAGCAATATTTCTAATTAAAAACTGATCACGTGAAATTGGAGTCAGATTGAACACGGAGCTAAACTAAAAATGAAACCAAATCCTGATAAGTTCAGAAGCGCAAGTAAAAGACCGAATACACATTAAACCTTCGACCAGGCCGCTGGATTCCGCTTTTTGGGCTGGCGGGTGGAACCTTACACCGCGATGATGTTTCTTACGTCTGTTTCGGAGAACCAGAGGACAAATATATTTCAATCGATCGCTCAGGCATGGCACCGAAATCTGCGTTCGGATTCGGTTCTAGTATATACCGGTTACATAGGTACCGGTGCCATATTGGTACCGGGTTTCGGTACCCAACCCTATTTATATGTGCTTCAAATGTTAACTGAGGATCAAAAATGACACCAAGATTCCTCACCTGTGAGGATGGATATACTCTGCTGGAATCAACAGCCAAACTGATGCCATCGGCCTTACGAGTGGCAGCCACTGTACCGATTAACATCAGTTCTGTTTTAGAGCCATTCAGTTTCAGGTAGTTCCACTGTATCCAGATTCTGATTTCTTCTAGACACTTATTGTAGATAATATGCAGTGAACATCAGAGCTAGTGGTGATGTAAATCTGGGTATCATCTGCATAGCAGTGGTACCCAAGACCATACTTCCCGATAATCTGCCCAAGTGAAAGCATATATAGCAGGGGTTCTCAACTCTGTCCCTCGAGTTTAGCTCTAACCTTAATTAAACCCACCTGAACAAGCTAATCAAGGTCTTCAGGATTAATTGAAAGTTACTGGCAGGTGAGTTTGATTATTTCAGTTCGAAATACTAATGCTTAATGTTACACTCAGATATGCAAAAGAAATCTATCGTATCTCTTGCTCTGGCTACTGTGTATAGACCACCAGGGCCGTATACAGATTTCCTAAAATAATTTGCAGATTTCCTCTCAGACCTATTGGTTACTGTTGATAATGCGCTAATTGTCGGAGATTTTAACATTCACGTTGATAATACAAATGATGCATTAGGACTTGCGTTTACTGACCTAATAAACTCTTTTGGAGTCAAGCAAAACATCACCGGGCCCACTCATCGTTTTAATCATACGCTAGATTTAATTATATCGCATGGAATTGATCTTACTGATATAGATATCGTACCTCAAAGTGATGATGTTACTGACCATTTCCTTGTATCGTGCATGCTGCGTATTACTGATATTAACTATATGGCTCCGCGTTATCGTCCGGGCAGAACTATTGTTCCAGTCACCAAAGACAGATTCACAAATAACCTGCCTGATTTATCTCAACTGCTCTGTGTACCCATAAATACACATGAACTAGACGAAATGACTAGCAACATGGGCACTATCTTCTCTAATACATTAGAAGCTGTTGCCATGCCATGGTACAACAGTAATACCCACTCTCTCAAGAAAGAAACTCGTAGTCTTGAGCGCAAATGTGAAGGTTTTTAGAACTGCGTGGAGAAACAGTATGTCCAGCTATAGACAGGCTCTAAACTAGTTCATGCATTCATGACCTCTAGACTGGACTATTGTAATGCACTGCTAGGTGGTTGTCCTGCATCTTCAATAAACAAGCTACAGGTCGTCCAAAATGCAGCGGCTAGAGTCCTTACCAGGTCAAGAGAATATGATCATATTACCCCAATTTTAAAGTCTCTGCACTGGCTACCTATTAAGTTCCATATCAGTTACAAAATATCATTATTTGCCTATAAGGCCCTTAATGAGTTAGCTCCTGCGTAACGAACTAGTCTTCTACCACGCTACAATCCATCACGCTCCCTAAGGATGCAAAACTATGGAC